CACTGTCCTCCCTATTTTATTGTGTAATGAAATGCAAAGACCAAAACAATCAACCAACAAAACAATCAACCAATAAATATCTCAATAAAAATTTAACTTAAAAAGAAAATGAAAGCCAAATATCTAGAGTGAACAAAGCCCAGGTAAGCAAAAGAAAACTTTTTTAAGCAAACAGTAAAATCCCAATTAAATTGAAATCTTCAGTACAAATGCTGCAACCATGAAATAAACAAGACAAAATGAATATCATTTTTTAAAAGGAAAAGTCAGAGAACAAGAAAATAAATCCTTGGTAATTCAGCTATGATATTAGAAAATTTTAAAAGTAGAAGGCAAAGATGACAAAAATTTCCAAACGTTAAAGCAAAAGAAACATCCAAGAGATTTGTTCAGTTCCAGTAATAACAGCCTATAAACTTTATTAGACAAGTGTTGCTAAATGGTCCATTCAAACAAAAGTCAGGAACTAAAACCAAACATCCTCCATATTCAACAAAAAAATTTTAATAAGAAGGTCTTATACTCTGAGAGGTAAGGAAGGGAATGGGTTTTCATGCTCAGATAAGATACAAAACTGAAGCAGCAACAGAAGAAGAGTGAAAACCACAAGTGCTTTGCAATCAAGTCCTAGGTGCCTAAGGAGGGTTATTTTCATGTTTCTAAAGCAAAACCGCTCAATGGAGCTGCCAGAAAGCTGAGGGTCAGTAAAATGGAGCTGCTCGTATTCAACCCCATTTCCAGCAACAAATCTCTCTGGAGGACGCAGGTCTGAGAAAGAACAGCAAACAGGGGACAAGTGTGGCAAGCATCCCACTTAGGTTGAATTCTGGGCACTACATGTTCCCCCCAAGCCAAGCGAGGGTAGCCGTGGAGACCCCAACACTGCTAGGTTGGCTTGAATGTTCTCAGAATCACAGGACCTGCGCAGTGTAGCATCCTCAGGCCCTTGCACATCACCACTAGCCTGACTGGCCAAGAGTCACCCGTGTGGATGCTGGGCCTACCGAGCACCACACTCAAAAACATATAAAAAAAACTTCTCTGGAGAAGAACCTTGTACCTGAAGGCCAAGGACAGAGACAGGACTGGAACTCTAGCTTAAACTCCAGGCTGAAAATGTGGTCTGGGGCTTCCACCAACCTGGTTAAGAAACTTCTTGCCTACAAAATTCTGGAAATAGTCTTCTTCCAGTATTACTCAGTACTATAATCCTTTAAATGTATCCGCCAACCTTAGCAGTTATGCATCACTTTCTCACAAATGAGTTCTTGAGCAAAGTTAATTTGAAGTTTTACTACCAAAAGGAACGTTTATTTTATTTCAGGGCTGGCCCACTTGATATCCTCTATTATTATCATTATAAAAATACCTAACTTGTGCCTATTCCGTGACAATTTCTACACAGCCATATGGCCTAGGTTTAACATTTTCACAACATTCCAAGAGTGTTCCTTACCATTTTCTGAGTTTCACATAATTGGCACTGACTGTTCCCATGATCTCTCTCACCATTTGGTTCCAAGAGCAGACGCTTATTTAGAGTAAGTTAATGATAAAGAACAGTCCTGTGTTTGGTGATGTGCTCAGCTAAACTAATCTTTAAAAATCTGGTTTAAAGCACGTAGAATTCCTAAAATTGGTTTGTTACCAAATCATTTCTAATCTTCACTTTTTAAACCCATTTTTAGAAACATATTTTGTGCAAACATTAAAACAGCAATTAAAATGGCTTTAAAGTGAGTCCAGAGGCTTTAGTATATTTCAAAACTCCAAACTAAAAATCATTCTTGGAGCTGGAGTGATAGTACAATAAAGTGTTTGACCGGCATGTGGTTGACGCAAGTTGATACATATGGGCCCCCTGGGGAACCAACAGAAATGATTCCTGAGCACAGAGCAAGGAATAGTAAGCCCTGAGCACAACCAGGTAAGGCACTGAAACTAAAAAAATAAAAATAAAGAAGTCATTCTTCTCAGAATGACTACTGGTTACTTTTATTTATTTGTTTGTTTTTGAACCACACCTGTGCACTGTTATCAGGACTTACTCCTGGCTCTGCACTCAGGGATAACTTAGGGTACAGGGAACCACATATAGTGCCAGGGTAGAATCCGGTTAGCTGCAGCAAGGAAGTGTCTTATTTGGTGTACTATCTCTCTAGCCCCTATCTGTCTTCTTTTAAAATTAATTGATTCACTATGGTAGAATCTAAACAAAACTAAAAGGCCTGCGAACCAGCTCAACAGACTGAGCACTATTTCTGCATGCTGGAGGTCTGGGTCAATCCCTGAACAACATCCCATGTACCAATAGAATGACTCCTAAGAACAAGCTGGAGTAGCCCCGAGCTCCAGCAGGTGCGGGTCCAAACCAAATAAACACATAAACAAATTAATAAAAATTTTAAAACTTTCAAATACATTATTTCAAACAATAGGTAGTTCGAGATATTGAGGTGGCGGGGAGACACGGTGAGCGGGATCTAAAAATACAAACCTCTGATCATAAAACAAGTCAGTTCTGTGAGATAACACACAGCATGATGACTAAAGTTAGTAACCCTATATGCTCTGTACTTGAAAGTTGTAAGTGCAGATCATAAAAGTTTTCAACACACAAAAATCAAACACCTCTGAAGTAAATCTGGCAATAAATACTAACTAGAACGGGTAGGGCGTTCGCCTTACAAGCGGCCAACATGGCCGACCCGAGTTTGATTCCTCCGCCCCTCTCAGAGAGCCCGGCAAGCTACCGAGAGTATTCGATATGCCAGACACAGTAACAACAAAGTCTCCAATGGAGACGTTACTGGGCCCGCTCGAGCAAATCGACGCTCAACGGGAGGGCAAAAGAAGAAAAGAAAGAAAAGAATTACTATGATGAACGTCTCTCAAATTACATATATACTGTGTCATTCTATAGTATATATAGAAGTAGTGTGTTAGTGACAATGATAACACAATTTTTGAAATTCATATTTTACTTTGAAAGATAAACAAATGCAAACTTAAAGCCTTATAAATATCAGCTGAGCATAATAGCAATTATAGGATCACATAATGGCATAATAGCAGCATTAAATGATATTGTCAACTTATTAGTAAAGATACTTTGACATCATTCTTTCAATCGGAATTAAAAATGTTTTGTTACTATTTTGACTTGAAAAAAATTATATGGCAGTAAACCCTTTAAAATAATAAAGGATTGCTTCAAAGCAAGTACTGGAAGATCTGTTGCTTGATAAAAGATAATAAGCACTAATTAATAAAATTTTTGTAGTGTTTTACCTGTTTCAGAAATCTTTCACATTAAACAGTGTTTCTAGTAATAACTTCAAGACCTTGAATATCATGCTTATCAATCTCTTACAAATACAAATTTAGAAATGATTTGACATCTCTATAACCTCTGAAAAGTCAATCATAAAAGTCTTAACTATCTGCACAGCCTCTATTACAGGCAACTAATCCCACAGCATAACTAAGTAACAGTAAAGGAGACCACTGACCACAGAATGAGCTCAAATATTTCTTCCCTAAGGATTAGTATTCCCAACTCTAGCCTGTTCTTTGTTTTCAATTTTAGCTGAAGCATATGGAACAGTTACATAAGCACTCTTGGGCACTGCAAGTATTCTCAGAATAGTGTATCACTCTTGTATAGCTTTATGGGAGAAAAGGTCTTTAAAAATATATAAAGCCTGGGGCTGGTGAGACAGTACAGTGGGTAGAGCGTTTGCTTTGCATGCGGGAGACCTGGGTCAAATCAACACACCCTATATGGTCCTTCAAGACCCTCCAGGAGTGATTCCTGAACTCAGAGCCTGGACGAAGCCCTGAGGATCACTGGGTATGACCCAGAATCCAAAACCAAAAAACCCGCTCAATAAATGATGTAAAGACTAATGAAAAATTGGTCACAACTAAGACTTGGGCAAAAAATTGATTCTATAAGAAAAGTATTGGGAGCCAGAGAGGTAACAGAGAGGGTAGGGTGCTTGCCTTGCACATGGCCAACTGGGTTTGATCTCCGACACCCCATATGGTCCCCCGAGTACCACTAGGAGTGATCCCTGAGCACAGAGCCAGGAATAAGCCCTGAGTACCACTAGGTGTGCCCCTGCTCCCCGCCCCAAATACACAACCAGGTAGCAACAAAGGGCCAATGGCAATATAATGGGAAAACTGACCCACACAACTGAGTTGTGGGGGGTGTTGATTGAAAGTGATGGACATTGGGATCTTTGGGGGAGGGAAGTGGGTATAGTGGTGATGGGTGCGGTGTTGGAATTACATGTAAAAGGTACTGTTATTAACAGTATTGTAAACCACGGAATCTCAATACATTGTTTTTAAAAAACTTAGGTTTTTCACGCACATTTGTATCTAAACTTATTTGCATATAAGGATTGACACAAACAATACCTCCCTGATTTTTCCACTGTTTAAGTCAAATAAAAAGCTGTTCCATGGTTAAAAGAAATAGACTTCTTTTTAAAAGTCTCAAGTCTGAGCACCTTGAAAATGAAAAATGAGACTATCCATATTTTACAGTATAAGGGCCTCTATGTGTTGGAGTGGTTAATAGGAATGAGAATTATTTTTACAATAAAAAAATGAAAATAACTAATTTATGCCACTAAAACTTTTTGGGGAGTTGGGTCACACCCAGAGATGCTCAGGGGTTACTCCTGACTGTACTACTCAGGAATTACCCCTGGCGGTCCTTGGGGGACCATGCGGGATGCCAGTATCGAACCCTGATTAGCAGAGTACAAGGCAAATGTATTACTCGCTGTACTACCACTCTGGCCCCTATGCCACTAAAATTTCTGAGGATTCATTCCGCATGACCTGCAAGACTTTACAAACATAAATAATAATTACACAATAAGCACAGTGTCAATAAGATTCTGAACTGTGTTCCACTAATGTCTTGTGCCCTCATGCTGAAGAGTATTCCTGGCGGTTTATGGATTGATTTCTCCCACACTTACTTTTTTGTGGTAGATGCTACTGAGTCCTCTCTCTATGTCAGGCAGTTTCCGTAGATGATTTTCTATCTGACCAAACACACTCGATTCCGAATGGAGAACTTCAGATACAGCATCAAGACGAACATTTATTTCCCTGTTGAGAATAGAGGAATAACTGAGAGAATGACCAAGCCCCTTTTAGACCTGGCCCCTAAATGTCTGCATTGAGAACTTGCACATCTGCTTTGCCTCGCTTTGCTAACAGCATGCTGAGAAGCAAGGGGCAATCTGTGAGCCACATGTTGACTGTCAGCCTCGGTCCGGGAGTAAAGCAGAAAACGCTGCACTCCCACATCCACATGCCAAGAGGATTTTACATAAGTGAGAAGTAAATTTTACCCTAAACCGCTGAGAATAAAGATTTATTTGCTACAGCTGCTGTCATTCTCTTGGCTGTAAGAGCTGTACAATGGCCAACTTCACTTTCTATTCTGATAGAAATAACTGAGCACCTCAATCAAAGCAATTCAAATGAATTATTAATCAACTGCTTCAGTAAAAAATATGGGTGAACTGATCAACTGTTTCACTGAAATGGGATTAGGCATCCTGACAGCGATAAAAGTATGGAAAATAAAACATGAGGCAGAATAGGAGATCAGATTTATCAGTGGCTACACCTTAACAGATGGACCATTTGGAAAAAATGTTGGGGTTCTGTCAACCTAAAGTAAAAAACTAGATGGTCCATCTAGTACCTATAAACATCAAAAGCCTATACACTATGCCCTCATTCACAGTTGTTGGGATTGTCATCTCGTTCAACCTCTATGGAAAAGGTGTACTTCTCGAAATAGTAAGACTCCCATATGTTCCAATATTACTCACCCACAAACACAAAAACATTAATTTGAAAGGCTATCTGCACACCTACATTCACTGCAGTGCTTACTATTAATAGCCAAGATATGGAAACAACACAAATGCTCAATCATGGATGTATGTATCAAAAAAGCTGTGGTGTTTATACACAATGTAATACTTTGCATCTGAAAGGATAAAACATGCATTTGGGGGCTACATGGATGGAACTAGAGGTATCGTGCCGAGTAAAGTGGAGTCAAACGGGACAGATATGGCATGATCACTCTCATAGTGGGATTTAAAGTTACATAGTAAGGGAGTAACAAATGGCCAAGGACAATAAAACCATAGAGCTAGTCCACAGACTTGAGTTTGTGGGGTAGTGTGGGTGTGTAGGAGGGTGTTGAACAGGAGGAATCTTTGGGACTTTGATGGAGGGCAGTCGGTACTTCAGTGGTGGGTGTGGTATTCAAAGGATGTATGCATGAAAGCATCACTAATAGTACTGTAAATCACAGTACCTCAGTCATGTTTTTTTAAAGCCTATACAACTAGGAATAATGTCTATATTTTGATAATAATGGCATAAAGGTTCATACTAGTAAACATATCTAAAAGACTACAGGGCCTCAATCAATGCTTGAATGCACACATGAATAAACAAACATAGATAAACATAAGCTTTCTGGGAGGAAAGGTGAGTGAAGACACTACATACACATTTGTCTATCAAAAATATATAATTTATATCTCTGATAAACAAATGTCTATCTTCACTGATGTGAAGAGGCAAAGCTTCTACCAAAATTCTGCAAAGGTGATTGTTGAAATGAGCCCTCGCAATGATGTATTTTTATCTGAACTATCCTGTAAAATTTGGTCTATTCATCACTCAGACACATCATAAGACACTTAATACCCATCATCCATGATTGCTGCACCATATTTTATAGGGTTCAAATATGGTTTGAACCTGGGAACACCTACAAGAGTGAGTAGAGGCCGCCCCAAAAAGCTTCTATCCCTCTCGGAGAGCCTGGAAAGCTACTGACAGTATTCCGCCTGCACAGCAGAGCCTGGCAAGCTATCCGTTGTGTATTCAATATGCCAAAACCAGTAATTACAATGGGTCTCATTCCCCTGACCCTGAATGAGTCACCAAGATGGCAGCATTGAGAAGGACGAGGAAGGAGAGGCTGATAAAATCTCAAGGCCGAACTAGGCTGCCAAAACGAAGAAAGACAAAAATGATTGTCTGTACTTTCAATGCAAGTACGCTGGGATCAGATGCATCCATCGAGGAACCTGATGGTACAAGCGCAAAAGATCAAGCATGACATCATCGGTCTGACCAAGACAAGAAGGCATCAATCACATCACGCCATTTTCAACACTGGAGAAGAACTGTTCCTTGGAACATGAAATAAAAGAGGCGTCGGAGGTGTCGGTGTCCTTGTCAACAGGAACTTGACCATGAGCATTGATTCATTCGAATGCCTAACAACCCGAATCGGACGATTACACTTGAATAGATGTGGCTCACTATCAGCAGTTTCTATCTTTGTTGTCTACACACCAACATCCAATTATGATGAAGGAGAAATTGAGAAGTTCTACATGGAGCTGGAGAAGTTCTATAAAGAAGACCACACCTTCTACAAGACCATTGCTGGTGATTTTAATGCCAAGATAGGACCGAGAAGATCAGCTGAAAAACTCTACATTGGGACCCATGGCCTAGAATAGAACAAACAGGGTGAAAGACTGTCTCAGTACATCATGTCGACCAAGACCATGTATGGTAACTCACAGTTCCAGAAGGTCGAATCTAAACGTTGGACATGGGAGTCTCCCAGAGGATGGTTCCGCAATGAAATTGACCACATCAATTTGCCTGACCAATGTCGCTGTTGTCCCAAAACTCCAAACAGTATCGGACCACCGTCTCCTTCGTGCAAATGCTACTTCACAGGTAAAGGTAAAGGCCCTCCCGTTGATCGTCGATTTGCTCGAGCGGGCCCAGTAACGTCTCCATTGGAGACTTTGTTGTTACTGTGTCTGGCATATTGAATACTCTCGGTAGCTTGCCGGGCTCTCCGAGAGGGGAGGAGGAATCGAACTCGGGTCGGCCATGTTGGCCGCTTGTAAGGCGAACGCCCTACCCGCTGGGGGAAAAGGGCTGCAAAGTTTAAGAAGAGAATTCCAAGAGCGACCACCAACTGGGAACTCTTTGGCACTATTGCTGCAACATAGGAAGATGCCGTCATTGACAACATTGACAAGGAATACGATCAACTAGTTCAGCACCTCCATGATTGTGCGAGGAATGCCAAGAGAGAGATAGCCACAAAAAAATTCCTGTCTTAGAAAACTCTTGAGCTTATTCGCCAATGTGGTTTGGCACATGCCCCAGGCAACTGCAAGCAAACATCTGACCTCGCAAAGCAGTGCAGAGATGCGATAAAGGAAGACCTCAAAGAGAGAAGAGAAGTGCTGGTAGATGCGGCAGAAGCCGGGAAAAGCATTCGTAATGCCCACCTGTCCTTCGCCAACTACAAGACCAAGATGACTGTCCTCCGATGTCCTGATGGATCTATAACATCTTCCAGAAGGGCAATGAAGAAGATTGTCCATGACTTCTAGTCAGATCTCTTTGATAGCCATGTACACCTGCCCACATAGCAAATTCTGCAGGATAGATATGTCATTCCCAAAATTCTCCCTTCAGAAATCTGACACGCCATCTTGTTGGTAAAGAAACGAACAACACCTGGCCCAGACAAGGTCAGACCTGAACACCTGAACAACCTGCTGTCTTTACTCATCAATATGCTGGCTTGGCTCTTCACACACTATGTGTCTGAATGCAAGGTTTGTCCCAGTGGAAAACAAGCAGGACTGTATTACTGTACAAGAAAGGAGACATCCACGACACTGGCATATATCGCCCGATCTGCCTATTGTCTGTCATCTACAAGCTGTTCACTCGAGTCATCCTGAATAGGACTGGCAGGACACTAGATGAAGGACAACCATGCAAGCAAGCCAGTTTCTGAAAAGGATTCAGCACGATTGACCATATCTACATGATAACCAAGTTCATTGAGGTTTCTCGGTAGTTCAAGATGCCACTCTGTCTAGCGTTCATTGATTTAAAGAAGGCCTTTGATTCTGTTGAGACGGAAGTGGTCATTGAAGACTTAGCCAATCAGGGCATTCAAACTCAATACATCAGGATCCTCTGTGAGCTGTATTACAGATTCACTACCAGGATCTCACCATTCTACAAAGAAGTGATCATTGATGTCAAGAGAACAGTTCGGCAGGGTGATACCATTTCACTGAAACTCTCCAGTGCCACCTTCGAGAATGTCATGCGACGAATGGAATGGGAAGAAATGGGAATGAAGATAGATGGTCGGCAACTACACCACCTCCACTTTGCTGATGACATCATTCTAATAACACCAAACATTAGCCAAGCGGCACAAATGCTGGCTGACTTTGATCGTAAGTGTGGAAAGGTCAGTCTGCAGCTGAATCTCACAAAGACAATGTTTAAGAGAACAGTTTTGTTTCTGATGTTCCATTCGCTCTCAACGAACGACCATCTCCCAATGCAACAGTTATGTGTACCTAGGTCGAGAAGTTAACACGACAAATGACCTGGCACCTGAGTTGCGCAGGAGGAAGAGAGCAGCTTGGAACGCTTTCAAGAGCATCAAAGAAATAGCTAAGAGGACAAAGAACCTCCAGCTCTGGGCACATCTCTTTGATTCCACTGTTCTTCCTGCATTAACATACACCTCAGAGACCTGGGCCCTACAAAAACAGAATGAGAACGTGGGTCTACCAAAGAGGAATCGAAAGAGTTATGCTTGGAGTATCCCGTTTCACTCAAACGAGAGAAAGAATCTGGAGTTCCGACCTCCACTGATGGTCAAGAATCAGGGACGCTGTCTCGTTTGCCAAGGCGTCAAAAATCAGATGGGCTGGACACGTAATGAGATTTGGAGACAACCTCTAGACTAGAGCTGTTACGGACTGGACTCCACATGACGTCAAAAGATCATGTGGCCACCCACCTACAGGATGGTCAGACTTCTTCGTCAAGACCCTGAACGATCAGTTTGAGGTTCTTTGTGTTCCTAGAATGAACAGATGCCATTGGGCTACACTAGCACATGACAGGGACAAGTGGAGACGTTACTGGCGTCCGCTCGAGCAAATCAATGATTAATGGGAAGTCAAGTGATCAAGTGATCATCATTCAGATACGAATGTTGTCTC